TTTTTTTAAAGTAATAGCTGAAATGATGTAATATTTTCACAAATACCAGATTTTTTGATGAACTGTGTACATTTATTTAGGGACCCCAAACCATTGGTCTTCAGTGATATGTAATGTACAAATTATGTCAATCATCATCATCATAGACAATAAAAATTGATGTATAAAGAATACTCCTTAAAAATCTGAACAGTAAATAAGTTTAATATAAGAAAAAAATTGCAAAAAATATTGAATTGGCTTCTTGGAATTTTTATTTTTTATAATTTCTAAATATGTTCAGTTTCCTTTACTACACTGAAAATCCCTTTCAAAGTGTGCACTCCTTAGTCTTTATATGATGACAATTTTGGTCATTTATTTTAATCCCTTATTTCAACTTTTTAATTTTTTTATTATGTTCAGTTAGCCACTGTATAGTATATCATTAGTTTTTGATGTAGTGTTCAATGATTCATTATTTGCATATAACACCCAGTGCTCATCACATGTGCCCTCCTTAATACCAATCACCCAGTTACCCGATCCCCCCACCCCCCTCCCTTCTGTAACCCTCAGTTTGGTTCCTGGAGATCAGAGTCTCTCATGGTTTGTCTCCCTCTCTGATTTCTTCCCATTCAGTTTTCCTTCCCTTCCCCTATGGTCCTCCATGCTATTCCTTACTTTGCACATATGAGTGAAACCATATGATAATTGTCCCTCTCTGATTGACTTATTTCACTTAGCATAATCCCCTCCAGTTCCATCCATGTCGATGCAAATGGTGGGTATTCATCCTTTCTGATGGCTGAGTAATCTTCCATTATATATATGGACCACATCTTCTTTATCCATTCGTCCGTTGAAGGGCATCTTGGCTCCCTCCACAGTTTGGCTATTGTGGACATCGCTGCTGTGAACATTGGGGTGCATGTGCCCCTTCTTTTCACTATGTATCTTTGGGGTAAATAATTAGTAGTGCAATTGTGTTTCTTTATTTAAAAAACTGACACTAATTATTCACAGAGGTCAGGAATTTACCCAAGATTTCAACACCATGGCTTGTCCAGGAACCATTCTGTTGAGGATAATAGCATTAATTTCTCTGTTTGTTGACAGCATGCAGCTCAGTGCTCTTGGTTTGTCCTCATTTTGGCCCCTCAGTGGACTCCTGGGTGCTCACCTGTCCTGACCTAGGTGGACTGTGAGTGCTCACCTGTGACAGGACTCTTGCCACTGTCTTTGGAGATCCCTTTCCTCCTGTGTTAGCAGCTCCTCTATGGTCCTCATCTCAGGCAGATGCCATAGCTCCTGGTCACTTGTAGGTGTCGATGGCCCCGTCAGCACATGCGTCCTCTGAATCGAGAGTCGTCCCTGGGGATTCGTATTGGGGTCACATCTGTAGCTGTGGGCTGTGTTGCTCCATGTGGCCCTGGGGCTGCCTCTACCTGGGCCAGGTCTGGAGCAGGTTCCCTGAGGCTGCCCAGCTGAGGAGGTGCTGGGGCTGCTCACGGGCTGGCCAGACACGGGCACTGGTGTGTCCGGAGTGGCCAGAGGGACTTGGTACCAGCAGCTCAGCACTCAGCAGGATAGGTGCTTCGATGGGCACTCTGGAGAATGACATTGCATTTATTCTTTTCCTTCCTAGTGTGCATTTTAATAGAAAACTTGTCCCTTTCCAAGATGCCTTTTAGAGGTGACGTCGTAATCGGTAAGTGCTTCTCTTCTTCTTTGTAGACTCACATTGTAGCATTTCCTCCCAGAACTATTTCAAGTTAAAAAGAAAATGAACCAGCTAGGATAGATGATAACCCGTTGTAAATAATGAGCATCCCCCCCACTCTCCTCCTCAAAAAGAGAGAGATTCTTTCCCTTGTCTAGTGAGAGGTCAGGCTCCTTCCTCAGAGCTCCTGGCTGCCACTCTGCCTGTGGCACCTGCCCCCAGTGCCGGGCAGCCTTGGCTGTCCCTTACCCCGACAGATGCATGGTGCAGGCCTGCAGGACCCGTGGTGCAGGCAGGATGTGTGAGGAGGGACAGCTCTTGTGGAGCAGTGGCCAGGCCCCTCTGCAGACCTCGAGCCCTCCACCTTCTATGGCACGTGGCCACAGAGAGGCAGTAAGAAAGGGGCCTTGGGGTCACCTTTATCCCCCGGCCGACTTTATTCTTTGCTTTTTTTTTTTTTTTTTTTAGATTTTATTTACTTATTTGACAGAGAGACATAGCGAGAGCAGGAACACAAGCAGGGGGAGTGGGAGAGGGAGAAGCGGGCTTCCTGCCGAGCAGGGAGCCCGATGTGGAACTCGATCCCAGGATCCTGGGATCATGACCTGAGCCGAAGGCAGACACCTAACAACTGAGCCACCCAGGCGCCCTTATTCTTTGCTTTTGCAGCCTCAAGTTCTGGGACCAGGAGACCAAAAAAAAAAAAAAAGAATTGGATAAATTTAGCATTCTATGCTCAGTGTGGGATCTAATTGAGTTAAATATTTAGGTTTTTATTCGTGGGGGCCCAGGGGCATTGTTTGAGAGAGAGGTGCTTCCAGAAGTGGCCTCCTGAAGCTTTCGGTGTTAAAAGAGCAAAAATTTCTCACGGTAACAGTTTGACATTTCAGCAGCCAAGAGAAGGCTTTCTCTCCGAATGGAGAGGGCCCTTGGATTTTGTCTAACCTGCGTAACGTTTACCTTAGATTTTCTCTAGATTCATCTCTAAGGTTACCAACTTTAAGAGGTAGAAGATCTGTTGTTTTAATTTCATCTACATGTTCTTAATTGGGTAAATGAATGTCTTTTGTTCCTTTGACAGATGGTTGGCAGTGGGTGATAAATGACACACTGAGAAATCTCCATCTTATTTCAAGTCATTCTAGACAACAGATCAAGGTATGGTAAGCAAGATTTTTCTGGCTGTTGCATTGTATAGAGAGTGACACTCGGGGTGCCTGGGTGCCTCATTTGGTTGAGCGTGGAACTCTTGATTTCAGCTTGAGTCATGATCTCAGGGTCCTGGGATCAAGACCCATGTTGGGCTCTGTACTCAGTGCAGAGTCTGCTTGAGATTCTTTCTCTCTCCTTCTCCCTCTGCCCTTTCCCTTGCTCATTCATGTGCTCTCTCTCTCTTTCTCTGAAATAAGTAAATAAAATCTAAAAAAAATAGTGACATGAATCTTTTTTTTTTTTAGTGTTTGTTTCAAAGGACTGTGTGCGTTATGAGTCCCTTTTATACACGAATGTTGTGATCATTGATAAATGCCATAATTATATTTGGAATTCTAGATTGTATTATCTATGTAATTTATAATCAGAAAAACCAGTGCAGCCAATGATGACCAGAATATTTAAATTTTATATGACAGTTTCTGGTTAAATTAGATTCAGCTTCTGAACATCTCTCCTGTATGTCCATAGTGATTGTTTATTCAGTTAGGGAGTTTTGTGTCCCGTTCAGATGCAGAATGGTGGGGTTGGAGACTCTGCCGTGACACTTAGGTGTAGGTGGGAGCCGCAGTCCAGGGTCCTTGCCTGAGAGTGCTGGCTATCGTGAGCAAGGACAGAGTGTGTGTGTCCGGTGGCCGATGTGCTGTTTTCCTATCCTGGGACAGGTGACTTTGGCCTAGCGGAGCTGTGACGGAGGTCCTAGTGTGGATGGTGACGGGCTTTGGTATTGAGGGTGGAGAAACGGAAGTCCGTGTTGGTTTCGCATAAGATTAATTCTCCAGCCTCCTGCGTATGCTTCTTTTTTTAAAGGAACTTTATCGTTCTGTAGAATCCAAGTACAGTTTTACGAGTTGAATCTGAATGTTTCGTGGTCAGGTCTCAGAATTTCCTTTTAAGAGCATTCCCTTAATTGATTCACACCAGCAGGGATTGTGGTAGTTTGCGCAGGTGACCTCTCGGTGTGATGCTGCGTTGTGTAGCCCTCCCTGTGCAGCCTCCGGCACCTCTCTCCAGGGCTGCTCCGTCGGGCTCAGCAGCCTGATTTGGGGAAGTGGTGGAAGAGCGTAGAAACCCAGCATTTGCCCTTTGCTGTCTGTCTGACCCTGAGAGGCTTACCTGGAGCTCAGGCTCCTCCTCTTGGCAGTACAGGTGTTCTGGGGGGGGCCGGGGGGCGCGGCTGCTACCACATCAGCTCCACTCTCCTCCCCCCCACCCTGGCCCTGCAACTTCCCCTCTAAGTGAGGCCTGTATGTTACTTCTGTGTGTACAACACACACTTTGCCCTTCGCTGATTCTGCTGGGAAAGAAAAAAAATGCCCCATTTTATTAACTTTTATTAGAAGACTTTGCATGAATGGAAGAAATCATATTTTCCATTCAGATTATTAGTTGCAGAGAATATTGAAGTTATCTGACAGATATCTGATGATGATCAGCAGACGTGCTGGAAAGGAGTATATGATTCAGTTTCTGTTTGTTTCAAACTTAATCACTGGCCTGACCGCAGAACGATCCGATGGCTGGGGCGCCCGGGAGGCTGCACAGCACACTCACGGCCCGCTTTGTTTCAGGAAGCGGCTGTCTTGGCCCTGGCTGCTCTCTGCAGCGAGTACTACACCCTGGAGACCGGGGAGGCGGATCCCGCCAGGCAGGGTGAGTGGGCCGCGGGGGCTTCCAGCAGGAAGCGGGGGTGCAGGGTATGGGTTTGGGTGCCCCGTCTCCTGCTGCAAGTGGACAGGGCGTGGGAGGGAGGGCCCGAGCTGGGCGTTGGGCGGAGATGGGGGTGGGGGAAGGGGGCACGGAGGCCTGCTGCTCCCGGATCCGCCAGGTTCGTGTAGCTGCCGCAGGTGTTCATCCCTCTTCGGCTCTAGACGGGTGCTTTCCTGGCGTGTTGGCATTCCCCCGAACGGGCGAGAACAAGCACGATGCTCTCTCTCCATGCAGAGCCTGTGCTTAATGTCGGCAGCGTCTGCCTGAATGACGTTTTCAAGTAAACTCCCCCACTTTGTGCTTTGGAGGTTCCCATTGTACGTGGATGGAACCCCTTCCTTCTCTGGCCTCCGAGGGAGCCTCCTGTTTCCTGTTCCATTTCGTTCTCGTGTTTCCCTTGGTGTTTGTTCCTTGGGTCCTTCTTCTTCTTTCTGGTCCTCGATGCTGGGGTTCTGTCGGCTCAGAGGGTCTGCGTCTGCTGTCCTAGCACGTCCTGATTCCCTGTCCCTGATTGCTTCGGTGACTTTTTTATGGCAGATGTGGTTTTAGGGTTTCCGTATGCACCATGCCACAGTTTCCTGGTGCGGGTCCTTGGCGTGTGCGTGCACTTTGCCTTTTCCCTGTTCACAGAAGCCTCGCTGCACAGCATTGCCTCAGTTGGGTTTTCCAGAACCCCCTCGTGTGGTTCGTCTGACCCATGACGGGTCTGCACGGAGAAGCTTCGTGTCCACCCACTGTGGTGCCCTGTAGTGTTCTCTTGCCTGACAGTCACTTCAGAAGCATATGAAACACTTTTAAATTATTTTAAATGGTAAAAATCGTCTGATTTTTTTTTTTAAATAAGAAAACATTCGGTAATGTGATCTTCTGACAGACTTTCCAAATTTATGATGTTTTTCCCTTGACCATAGGCAGTGTTACATAAAGAGGTACTGACATCATTTTGCATTTAGTCTGTTTTTAAAAATTGGGATGATAAGGTCACATTTCACTTTCTGCCTGAGAAGAGAGTATGGCATCGCTGTGCACGCGGGGAGAGTGAGCAGTGTTCTGGAGTCACCTTCAGTGTGTGGAGACCCCAGCCAGCGCTGCGGAGGTGGCCACGTCAGGGGTGCACAGACGTTCCGGTGTTCCTTCGCTGTCCTAATGTAGGCCCTTGAGGTTTCCATGCACGTGTTGCCACGGTTGTGCTTGGTTGACATCTAAGCAGTGAGGACAAGAATCGGTCACGATGGTTAGACAGGTCGGGGTGTGCAGCCTCCTGGCCCCTCCAGAGCTGCGTTGGTCGAGGACAGCCCGGCAACCCCACTGCCCTTCCCGCCCCAGCTGTCCCTTGAGTCTGCCCTGCACCCTCTGTTCCCGTCCCTGTTTCATCCCTGACAATGGCCTTCCCGTCTCGGGGAGCATCTGTCTGCGCGCAGTGTGCTTCAGCCCGACTGGCAGCTTCTGCCCCTTCGTGCTCACCCTGGGAGGGCATCCCGTCCACCTTTGTGTTCCTGGTGACTAGGACCACATCACGCATTCTTAACCCCTCCTGGATTTATTCTCCTAAGAGTGAAATCGTGTATTAAAATTGCCTATGAAAACCTCAAACCCACCTAATAAAAATTCTTAAATCTGTTTTGATCGGAGCCACTTCTAAGGTACATCTGCTTCAGAAGCCGGCGTGCTTCCTCCCTCTCTCTCGCTGCCTACTCACGCATTTCTGAGACGTCAGAAGGAGAGCGTGTTGTGCGGGAAGGGAGGCAGCCGCCCTTTTGTCGCTGCCTTTCAGAGGAGCTGATACGGCAGTATCTCGCTGACCTGCAGAGCCCGGAGGAGACGGCTCGCTGTGGCTTCTCTCTGGCCCTGGGCGCCCTCCCGCGCTTCCTCCTGAAAGGCAGGCTGCAGCAGGTGAGGCGCCCCGCGCCCTGAAGAAATGGCCTGTTAGGTCCGGGCGTTGCGTGTGAGCCCGGTGGGGGAGGGCTTGGGAGGGGTCAGACCACGAATTTACGCCCGTCCAGGCATGTGGCCATGAGGAAGGGAACGGGGTGCTCTTGAGGGTGCCGGGTGGACACTGTCGTGTGATGGGGGGACTTGGAGGGGCTGAGTTCTAGTCTAACAGAGGGAAGCTCTTGCTGCCTTTGTGGAAACACGCTCCTGTCTTGAGACAGCCGTGCTGTGTTCCCCTCCTCCTGCCCACGACATCTCGGGGTCAGAGGCACTGGACAGACTCCCTAAAACTCAACTCTGCAGCTTAGCCGTTTGGAACATACGACTCTCAGGACCGAATGGCCCTTTAAGAAGTAGTGGATCGAGATCTCAGGAGTCGGCTGATCATTTGTCACAATTTCCAGCTGTGGGCCACAGGATAGGAAGGGGGCAGTTGGCGTTGGGGATGCCCTGCAGAGATGACCGGGGGCAGCAGGTGCCCCCTCCGCGTGTCCTCCGGGCTGCAGCAGGGCGTGTGGTCTGCCAGGTGCACGTTCTGTTGAGGATGCATCACTGCGTTTCAGGTGCTGGCAGGCCTGGGAGCCGTGACTGTCATTCGTCCTGAGAACGTGAGCTTTGCCGAGTCCAGGCGGGACGCTCTGAAGGCGATCTCAAGGTGCGTCTCCTCCGGGCTGTTCCCCCAGTCCTTGCTCTCCCGGGCGCCAGCGACCGAGCACTGAGGTGGTCCCTGTCGGTGTGGTCCAGAGCCCAGTCTCACATGAATCTACTTTGAAGCAGCAGTGTAACTTTTTATTTTCTCGTTTATTCTCTTTTCAGAGGGTTGTCAAAGAATATTTCCAACTCAGAGGCTCATTGACACTTTATTCATTGTTGCTATAGTGAATATTAGACTTCTTTGTTTTAGGAACAGCAACCCACCTCAAGAACTGGGGCATGAACCTTAAGTCTGGAAGGGCCATGTGGTGTTGACCACACACTGCACGCACAACGGGACATGCTTTCCTTTCTCTGTCCCCCACCCGTGCCCCTCTTCTGCTGTATGGTGGCACCACCCCTTTCTGCCAGGACGGAGGCGGGAGGGGCCAGCACAGGTGGCCTCCTGCACACCTTTTTTTTTTTTAAGATTTTTTTATTTATTTGCAAGAGAGAGAATGAGAGACAGAGAGCATGAGAGGGAGGAGGGTCAGAGGGAGAAGCAGACTC